AAACTAATTGAAATAGAAAAGAAATTTGTATTAAATTTTTCATGTATTACAAAAGCCATATCAAAGACTTTTTTTGCTTTCAATGTTTTTGCCCTAACCGAACGCTGTGCAAATTTTTCGTACGGTCTCCTTGCTAAGTTCCCCACAGACGTATTCGTCTTGGCCACAGAATTATCCATAGCTTTGTTGTGAACTGCGAGGTTGGTAAACTGTGGTTGATAGCTATGCAGATCTGATCTGCTTACCCTATAAAAAATATCAGCGCTGAAATCAGTCGTAAACTACATCGTTGATTCAGCGTTTATTCCATGTTGAATCAATGCTGATTCAGCATTGAATCAGCGTTTGTTGAAAACAATAATAGTAATTAACTTCAAAACAGTGCATTTTTCATGGTAGCATTGCAGTTTGCAATTAACATAGATTATTTTGAAGCTTACAACCTGTTACAACATGTTCCCCAGTTGATAATAAGTCAACGTTGATTCAACATGGAATAAACGCAGAATCAACAATGTAATTTACGACTGATTTCAGCATTGATTCATCACTGATGTTTTGGATAGGGCCTAATCAAAAACTTCAATGCTAAATCAACGTTGATTTCAGCGATAAATCAATGCTGAACCAACGTTGAATCAACGTTGATTCCATGAATGACGGAACTCTGAAATCAGTCGTAATTTACATTGTTGATTCAACAATAATTTAACGTTGAATGAACACTAATTCAACATTGAATCAGCGTTGAATCAGCGTTGATTTAAACGTTAATTTAATATTAGAAAAATATAATGCTGATTCAATACAGTTTCACATAAAATAACTGAACCCCCCTGTTTTAGTGTTACCATACGGATAATAGTACCTCCATATTCGTCAATATATCTGCTCCAAATGTTATTATACTACTTTTTAATTTTTGAAAATTTAATTTTAACGTTTTAATCAACACTGAATCAATGCTGATTCAATGCTGATTCAACGTTGAAACATTGTTGAATCAACAATGTAAATTACGACTGATTTCAGTGTTCCGTCATTCATAGAATTAACGTTGAATCAACGTTGGTTCAGCGTTGATTCAACGCTAAAATCAACGTTGGTTCAGCGTTGATTCAACGCTAAAATCAACGTTGATTCAGCATTGATTCAGCATTGAAGTTTTTGATAGGGATGTAATGTATTTAAGTGTGTAATATAATTTTAATTATATTTGTGTTATAGCAAAAATGTATCAAACTGCCAATTAAAATTTTATTCCATCAATCAACTAAAAACTAGTTACGGAATACCACTCCAGGGCCGAGAGCGAGAGCACGTGTGGAGCAGTTGGAGCGCTTGGAGCAAGTACGCGTGTTTCGGGCTAGAGACTACTAAGTATGTAGAGTTCGGAGCACTCCGAGCGCTCCGAACCTCTTAATCGAACAAATCTAATAAGTATTGCGGACTGATTATAATGCATTAGATTGCAGGATTGCACTCGTACTATGAAGAAGAGACTATGAAAAGACAAACATTAGAGTACTTATCAGAGAAGTTAAAAAGAGTTTGATGTTCATACGACATGCTAACTCTGCAGTGTAACTCCAAAGACTGTGGTTTCACGTGTTCTTCTACAAGTTTAAACCTAAAATAATGGCTGGTAACTTTTGGCACAGTTCTCATCAGTATGTAGAAGTTTGATTATTTTTATAACCTTTCATATAACTTAGTAGATGTTTTATTGAGTGTTCAACTTAAATGTAAAAGTATATCTAAATCGATCTATCCAACACCTAATTGGGACTTAGGCCCTAATAATAATAATAATAATAACAATAATAATAATAATATGAATTTACTATTGTTTAGTCAACAATGGTTGCTAGATAAGCAGGATTTGATTAGAGAACGACAGTACGATTTATCTATACTTACTGAAGAGGAATACCAAAAACTGTTCATATTTTTTGCAAACTGTAAGTAGACAAGTTTATTTAATTCAAACCAACAACTAGAATTAATGTTTGAAGTTAGAGTACTTAAGTACAAATATTAAATAATATTAGACGAAACCAAAACAAAGTACTTCAAATTATTTTTCAGTAATACAAGTGCTTGGTGAACAACTAAAATTAAGACAACAAGTTATTGCTACTGCAACAGTATATTTCAAGAGATTTTATGCTCGCAATAGCCTTAAATGCATCGATCCACTATTACTTGCTCCAACCTCGGTATTCTTGGCTTCCAAGGTTGAAGAATTTGGTGTAATTTCTAATACTAGACTGATTTCTACTTGCCAAACAGTTGGTTTGTACACACATTTTATATTTCTAAAGTCAAAAACTAAACTCATATTCATTATTCATTGATTAACATATTTGATTTCACGATGCCTTGAAATGCGTTCCGACAATTATGTTTATGATTTTTTTTCTCGTAAAATTTTGTACAAGTTGGTACAACAATTTAAAAAGTTGTTATAACAAGTTGCAAAATGTTTTTTCATGTTCGATCAGTTGTAATTGATTACATGTTTATTTTAACCCTCTGTTTTATCTGTTTAGTTAAGAGCAAGTTTAATTATGCCTACACACAAGAATTTCCATACAGGACAAATCATATTCTGGAGTGTGAATTTTATTTACTTGAACATCTTGATTGTTGCTTGATAGTCTATCAACCTTATCGCCCATTGCTTACTCTAATTCAAGATGTAGGTCCTGATGATCAACTACTCACCCTGGCTTGGCGCATAATTAATGATAGCCTCCGCACAGATGTATGTTTACTATATCCACCCTATCAAATAGCCATTGGTGAGTGATGAATGATCATTATTAAGATTATTTTTTTTTATGTCAGTTACAGAAAAATTTTTATGTTTCAGGCTGTTTACAAATAGCTTGTGTAATATTACAAAAAGATCTTAAGTCATGGTTTGCTGAACTTAATGCAGATATGGAAAAAATTCAAGAAATAGCCAGGTATATTATTAATTTGTATGAATTATGGAAAACTTATGATGAAAAGAAAGAAATTCAGACTTTACTGAATAAAATGCCTAAACCAAAAGCTGCCCCACAACGTTAAGTGACTTTCCAACCAGCGAGATTTATAGAACGCTTGGTTCGAATTTTCGGGATTTTAGTTCAAATATGAATACTATTTTAAATTGTGATTGTAAATTTTTTTTTTTTTAGAATTAATAAAGAATATTTTCTACATAAACTGTTTTACTATTACTAAGAAGAAGTTCGCACAACATTTTTGTATCTATATTTTACAAGAACTTTATTTGATATTCGGTATAAAAATTTAATACTACATACCTACAAAATGTAATTAGCTACATTAGCTTGTACAAAGCATATTTACACAAAAAATACGTATTTACATGAATGACTTAATTAGCTCCTTTGTTGTATCGTTTCCAAAACTTTTTCACGTCGTCATGGCCAGCCTTTGTCACAACCATCGTTCGTTTTCTGAAATTAATATTTCGTTCAGTAACGTCACATATTTTATGGTAACATTTCTATTACAATTTACCTTTCACTTTGCCAAATTAAAACACCCAAAGATAATGCATGATCTCTAAGAACTTCAAAGTCTGTTTGAGAGTGAAATTGACTGTACAAAACGCCTTCGTTAAATATGAATCGGTTTCTTTCATTTTCCCAAAGCTTGATTTGATCCACAACTGTTGGGGGAAGAGGTGGAGGCCCAGCCTCAATCATTTTATTGTGTGCATGTTGATTCAAATATCCAACAATTTGAGAAGCAGTAATACCACTTTTAAGGGCCCGTCGAATGGACTCTCTAGTTAATACTGCTACTACAAGATTCGGAAATCTGTAAAAAGCAATCACATAGAGTGGCCATTAAATAATAAAAGATGTCAATGAACAACGTCAAATCACCTATAAAGTAGGTCACAAAATAAACCAATCAATGCCACTTGTAAGTTTGAATTCGTATAGGCATACACCCTGTAATTTGTTTCAACAATGACATAACGTTCTTTTTCCAAATCTTGTGAAAGTGGTTTATTCTGACCAGTTGCAATATTCAATGCCAGGCGAGTGGGATAAAATCTATGGACCAAATTTCGTCGATATAAAAATCAATCATCTCAGATTTTAATCTTTAGAGGAAAATAAAAAATTTACCGTCCCGCTTTTCTTTTGCGTTGGTAAACAAGACCAAATTCTCTCAAGTGCTGCAAAAACGTCAGAAGGCCGTCTGACATGCCTCGTGTGCTGTAATCCTTGCCAAGAGTAGAAAAGTTCAGTTGAAAAAGGAAAGTCAGGCAGTCGACCAAGTCTAAGCCCCTAGCTTCCACAGTATCAAGATATTGCAGAATAAAGTACCAAACCTTAGAAGGAAAGAGAGAAAAAGTAGCAAAAAAATAAAACCATAGGTAAAATGCCTGTTTAACGAACAGTACTCAAAGCCGATTAGTTATGCAGATTATTCACCTGAGCTGAAGTATCTAGCAGTAAAAATTGAAAGCCGGCTTGCGTAATGATGGGACTGCCATCATCCTCATCACGTTTCATGAGACCAGCATGCAGCAATATCCTGACAGCGTCAGCAGATATGCCTGTCGCATCAAATTAGACGTGAACAATTACCTAGCAAACTACTAACAAAAACTGTTGCATGGGATTAAAGCTACCCCATACCTATCTAATAAGTATGCACCAAAAACTGAGCACATCGTCTGTCTGTCTGCCTACCTTCCTGCTGCTGAGAGCCAACCATGTAGTGCAAGACACACTCCCACCTCTCGAGGGCATATGAGTCAAGAAAGGCGACGTCCCGGGGCTTACTGTCTGTTTCGAGTTGGCTGGACATGGTCCACGGCGCGCCACCTCCTAGTAGAACGATCTTGAGGTTTTTACGGAGAGAATGGTTAAGGGTCCATCCAGGCAGACCACCAGGGATAGCAGCCTCCTTCCAAATGCTAAGCTCATTAAGGGCTTGAACGACGGCCAGGTGATCGTCGACATGAAGCTTTGAGCACCAAGAAGCTATCACAGCTTGGGGAACCGGCTGCTCGACAAACAACAACCGCATCACATAGTGTCGCGCTATCTCGGGGAGCTCGCGATACACAGCTAAACATATCGGTGGATTTCCATAAAGCCGATTTAGCATCTCTGGTGACCTTGACTTGAGATACTCGTGCAGGTCCTTACACTGTAATCCAGACGGCTGCAACAGGTTGCGTCCGCTTACTACTGTAGAGGTCATCACTATATTGCTGTGAAATCGAAGATCTTGATATAACATATTTAAATACATATATAATGCAAGATCAGTAAACGTTCAAGATCAATGTTTATTTACTCAGCCTTGGAGAGTATAAGTGAGATATTCAGAATTCTTCTTTACTTTGCACAACCTCGAATAAATTGTCGTTTTAATTAAACTTAATTAGAGCAAACCAAATAGTGTTCGAGTTCCCAACTCCCTATACGCACATTACAGCAACAAATAAGTTTTATTTTTCATGATTTATTTCGTTGTTTACGTATACGAGCAATATAACCTTCAATTCATTTAGTATAAGATCACTAGGTAGTGGCATTATGAATGATATTTGCCAGTGTAGAGGGGCCACCCCGGCCACCAACCGTGGATCATTCACGAGTCACGAGACACGGGACACGGAATGACGGATTATGAGACACGGCTGTTCCGGCGAAATAAAAGGCGAAGGAGCTTAAGTTGACATTTAAGAGATCTTGTCAGATATCTTAAGTCTTTTTACGATTACTTTAAGACGTCTTTCAGACGCCATTTGTACGGAAGCTTGTAGAGGCCACAGCCATCTCATCAAAGTCAGGCCAAGCTAGCTGCGCCCAAGTCAGCGCCATATTACAAACCCACTGGAGGACAAGTCAAGTGTGCCAACTTGCGACCAAGGTGGGCGGCGTAGCAGCCAAGCTTGGGCCCAGTTTTCGCCCACTTTCAATTTCTACTGGGGTTTGGCCCACTTCAGTTGGCTGCATTGCGCATGCTTTTGTTTGTTCGGCTCAATGTCCGAGTTTTCGGCTGAACGTCCGATTCGGCTCATCGTCCGATTCGGCTCATTGTCCTAGGCTCGCGAATATTGCCTTCTGCTGTGCCAGACCAATAGTTCTCGTTTTTCCCTAGGATGGCGCTGCTTCAAAATTGTGCACGTAGCGAAACAGCTTACAGTTTTTTGCAGTTTATTACACTTTTTTATATTTTATTATCATTGATAACTTTTAGACACATTTCCTTACATTTTCGAATAAAATTTGCCTTAAATGAAAAAAACTTGAGTAACTATTATGAAAAAGTATAAGTGTAACAGCATGTGGTAAATCATATTAAAACGTAAGAAAATGTAAAAAAACGTAACACAACATAATAAAGTGTAAGAAACGTCCGAAATCCATGAGACTATTACAGTTCCTTACATTTTCT